GTACCTGGAGAGAACCAGCACAGCAGAGGGAGAATATGCAAGTTCACACACGCACTGAGCAGAGGTGGGATTCAGACCCCAGTGCTGGAGGCGACAGCGCTACCCACTGAGCCACTGTTCATTCGTGCTCGTCACTGTGCAGACCTTAATTTAAGAGACACTTTTGTCCGCAGTGACGTACAGGTGAGGATCAGAGAGCAGAATCAGACAGCATCCCAAGCAACCAAGCTTCAGGACGTTGCTCAAGGGTACAATGGCGAACTCACTCAACCAGCCACAGGGTTTCAACCTAAACATCTTACATAATTATTACTAATAGTACATCTTTCATTAGAATCTAAAGCAGAGTGTTGCTGTCTTTGAGGAACCATCGAATGGCAGGTGGGTTATATGGAACAGGAAGAGATTTCCTCCTAAGCCAGGCTACTTCCACAGAGATCTCAGGAGACTTAAACGATGTACATAGACTCCATATAAACAAAGGAATCCATGTTTTCCTTGGATATTGGATTCCTGGTGTTTCCTGCAATGGGCGGCAGGTTCTCCAGAAAGCGGCAAACAGGACTCACATTAGGAGGCAAGGATCAGATTGCTTTCTAGTAATCTCCCGGGGGTATCTAGGCGGTCTGGGTGTTTCTGGGGCAAAACGGTGTGCGGCTACAAAGCATGTTATCTTTACTTCACAAACAAGTTATTGACAAAACAATGGTGAGACGTCTCCTCCCATCCTCATCTCATGAGTCAATGTCAACCCCCCCCCCCAACACCAAGCACCTAAAAGCTGATTTTTACACAGTCCCAGGATTTCCATAATCGTTTTATCCATGCGATTTGATCTGCCTCTCATACAGAAAGGAAGACATTACCCCCAATTTGAACCATCACAGATTTGCCAAACTGAGGGTCCTGCTTTGGGCTGATAAGGAGCAGGGGGAGGTTTAGCAGAGCGGGCGCGACCGGGCACAGAGGGGTGGTGAGCTGCCAAGTAATACAACCCTGATGACATTTTGCCAATTGGTTATTTTTCACAAAGGTCAATTTCTTTGGGACATGTTTTAGCAAATCCAGAAATTTCTACCAGGAAAAACAGTGAATTTATATTCACCAGGCCTGTTTGCATGAAACATTGTGTCTGTCTGACATCTGTGTACGTGTTCTTGTGTATGTATGCGTATGTCTACTGAGACAAAATCTCCTTATCCAAGGCATGCATTTAAATTTGTGGTTCAGAATGATTTGTTGTTTTAATTTTTCCCTCCAGCTATTTTCTGCCTCCTTCCATACCCCATTTCCAGTAGAGGGTGGTAGTGAGCTTGGGAACAGTCCCAGGAGACACAGGAGACACCATGGCCATTGCAGGTCACACACTCACACACAGAAACATGCACTTAGGGCAATTGAGTGAAATGTTTTGTTTTGAATTTGATTCATCTGAATGGCTGTTTGCTCTGTTTATCATGTCCATCCATCACACCTTAGTCTTCCCTTAGTAACAGTGTCATGTTCATTTACAATTAAATGGGTTCTTCTGTAAACACTGAGCTTCCGTAGCCTGACTTAAATCAAACACTGTATATACACTGTATGAAAGATCCAAACACTCGTAAAAGTAAACTTCTGTAAATGTAGCAAATGGATACTGCGAGATTTCAAGCATAAAGAATAGCTTGTGGAGTGTCGTTTTAGCTGTGGATTTTGAGTTTTTGAGCCCTCCATTTTAAAACATTTTGGGAGTTTTTATGCGGCTCTGTATGCTTTCAGAGAACAGAATCAGCTGGCTGCAAATAGATTTGGTCACTGAGTGGTTCGAGGTGTTCTGGGTTTCAGAACAATGTCGAGACCTTAGATTTGTTGATATTTTTGTCATAAAACCAGTAAGGGACTTTGCACTGGTTATTCGTTTTGTTAAGGTCCCCAGATTATATCTTAAGGTCCTGGAGAATGAAACATCAGAAACCAGTTAGGACTGACATCATTTCCATCTCAGCATTATAGTTTTGTCTGATTAAAGCCTCTTTGGTTAGAATTTCATGGCGCTAACCATGTACATGCATGACCCCAGTGCAAAGTTACCAGAACTTGACAAAGGCATCTGCCCCCAGGAAGCCCCCTGAATACCCCATACTTAAGCATCTGCGCTTCACCTCCGGAGGCACAGCAATCAGCGGAGGGCATCCTCTTGCATGCAGCTGACTGCCAATGTCTTTTTATTATTATTTTTTAAGCGGGGCCAGGCCACTCTCTGCTCACCAAGAACGCCTAGTGGCGTGGATGCCCGCCGCCATTAATCACCAAAACGAGCTGTGAAATTGCAGCTGGCGGACATCTTCACTACCAAGCGCTAAGTCATTCCGTTACTGGAAAAAAGACACAATAATGGCCTGTTCTTTGTCTTTTTTTTCTGTTCCAAAAACATCTGCCTACATTGATGTGCAGACAGGCGCTGGAGATGGGCACTGTGCCTGTCCGCCGGCACGCCTGGGACCTGGGCAAACGCACGCTGGCACCGGCCGGGTTCAGTTACGCAGCCACCGGCAGGTGTCAGAGTGGCAGTGTGGTGAGGCGGCAGTGGGCACTGTCACTGCACATCAAGCGAGAACCAAAATGAGGACATTTAAATAATTAAGCTTCTAACATTTTTGGGGGGATAATCACTGACTTAATTAAAACGAGTTATGCCAGATGGGAAGCAGATTGTGATATGGAAAAGAGCCAATTTAGCCATAAACACGGTTTAGCCACAAACACTTCTAATAGAGCATACAGTGAATAACGTGTGCACACATGCACACGCACACACACACGTTAACACGCTGACACGTGCACAGCGGGAGTTATCAGCCTGCACATGACAACTATTGTTATCTGAAGTCAACTGTGTCCTCTGTCATCGCAAATTCACTTCAGCTACTACTTGGGTGATTAAACACTTTCTTCCATTAGTTACATATTCACTGCATTAGCCACGGCCCAAGCAAGAGAGCGTGTGCATATTTTAAATAATCTTTTTAAATGCTTGTTCATTGTCATTGGTCATTATGATCTCAGCTCTATCCAGTCGGGGCTTTGCTTCTACCTCCTCTTCCCGACGTACTTAAGCACAGTGTGCAGTTCACTTTTTTAAAAGAAATGTTTAATATGCATTTGCTTGTTGAGCTTGCTAAATAGCTTCCACATTATTGACAGAGCAATGGGCGTTAAAAAGGAGGGAGGCTTGTTTCTTAATGTCCTGTAATGGCATTGTTACAAAAAATCACTTACAGTACTAAAACAATACTTCTTGTTTTTTTGGTTTTTTTCCAGTGAATGTGTTACGTTTTAAAGGACTTGGCCTGTGAAATAGGAGGCTTCCCCTCAGACAGGAAGCTTTCTGTGTTTGGCTCAAAGTAAAAGTGTTAAATGCTGTTGATGTCACTGAGCTGCATATGGCTCCTTTGTTATTATACATATACTGTAAGGTGTACTATACTATTACAGTGTGCTATACTAATACACTGTACTATCCTAATACTGTATGGTGGGATGTGGAGACTCCTAGGGTGGGGCCAAGTCAGGATACCAAAGCTGATACCCAACCAGTGTCTACTGTATCTGAAAGAAATCCTTTCCCCACTTTACCTAAAAAATGACTGGTGGTTTGGAACCCCCTCGTCTGGGATAGTCGCCCCAGATGGAACTTGGTTTTCAGCGACACCCTTGAGCGCCCTTCTGTTGACCGCATCCTTTTTAGCCACCAGGGGTGACGTAAAGGGGGACGTTAGGATGATTCCAAGGACCCTTGAGTGACGAGAGCCCTAAATACTCTGGAATTGAATTGCAAAATTGAATTGCTCTCAGTTGGGGGCCAATGGCAGCTTTTGATGTTTCTCTGTTAGATCCCAGAAGAACGATAATGTTGCTTTTCACCCTTGTCAGGTACACCGGGCATCACCCGCATTTGTTTGCTGGCCCAACAAAAGCAGCTCTTCTGGGATCCTTTAGGTCCCGTGTTTCCTGTGCTTTGCAGAAAACAGCAACATCTCTGTTACCTTTCTGGCTCTCGCTCACCAGCACTGCAGTTCACGGACATAAAATCGGATGTGAAGTAAAATTTTGCACATAATCTCTGAGGTATTATGGTAACGGTTTCGTAGGATTGAAATTACCGTCATCTGTGTTTATAACAGGTATAAACTGAAGCATATTATTTATTCAGATCAATTTTTACCTGCCATCAGCAATTAAGAAATCAATACCAGATCACACATTTCACTGATTACACGCTTCAAGCACTCAAAAACAAAACAGCCAGTCGAAACACAGGGGCGTAGCAGTTGCATAAGGTGCAATGAACTGCTGATAAATTAATGAACAGGAGGGGAAAAGGCTTAGACACTGAGGCGTTTATACAGTACCACTGTCAGCTAACTGGGAGAAAAAAATTGATGGAGCATTCTGCCCCCTGCTGGCAGCTGAAAACCACCAATACAAAAGTAAACATACAGGCACCATTTCAGAGGCAAATGAATTAAAAACAGTACTCCTTTGTTCTGTGGTGTAAATCATTTCTTTGTAGATTTTTTAGCCTGTAATATGCTACTGATATGTGTGTTGTTTTTGATGCTGAGTTCCAAGCTAAGAGGATTACTTTATAAATTTGCAGGGTACCTGTGTACTAATGAGCATATCTTATGTTAGTGAATATTACCTGTAACTGTTTTTTCCATATTGGTGTTTCTTTTATGAGAGTGGATCTTTAAATGTGTTAATGACAGACATCAAAGTGAAAGTGTATTTTCTCTAAGTGATTGGCTTTGTTTGCTTATTCTTCAACAAATAATATGTTCATAAAAACAATGAAAAAGTAGCATTTATTAAAATTTGACATTGAGAGTTCGATGTTTTGCTTATGTTTCCATGGTAATAACCTTAATATGTGGGCTGGTCATAAGCCATGCCTGTAAATGAATAAACATTAAACTTATGTAACATCCCACATGCTGAGATCAAACATCCCTCTCTCGCCCTATAAAGGCTTTTATGACATCATGCAAACTGCGGCATAACGAATTTATTTGAATATACAGACATTTCTGTCTTTAAAAAGCCATTTGATGACAAATTAAGTGCTAGTCCAACATGGCTGCCTGTGTTTGCAAACTGCAGGGCATTTTAATATTCAGTGATCTTTTTTATATATAAATGCAGAAAAAGTACCTGTCAAAATACGTTTAATCTATTATTGTGGGCGATTTTTCTCACAAGTAAAGCCAGATTTTATAGTTGCTTTAATATGAACATCAATAGTACCATCTTATATGGAATATGATAGATTTCACATAATGTCCATTTTAAAGAAAATTCAGAATGAAAGATTCCAAAATAAAAATATATGAAAGTAACTAATGAAAAAAAATCCAGTGACTTGTTCAACAGTGACGAACAATGAGTGTTTATCTCTCGACTAATTATATCTCCGTAAACAAGAATCAAAACAGTCTTCCAAAGTTACATATCATAATTTGTGCCGAAACTTTATGGCAGCACACTCCTTATCAATCAGGAGACCACACGGTCAAATTTGATTCAAAAATCATTAACGCACGTGATGCTTAGATTATTTGTTGGAATAACATAACTAATCATGCAAACAGCCTCCCACACAATTACAAACACTTTAATCTGTTATAGTTTTGCATGCACAGTAATATTTATGACTCAAAAACAGCAAGAGTAGCTGAATATCAGTCCAGGATCCTGTATGTCGGAAATGGATTTGTAATCTTTGTTAAAAATACATTAACTACACCGCATCCATTTAGGCAATATAATTTACTTGCATTCGCCAAATCGCAGGACCACGTGGGCCGAAATGCACCTCGTGTGGAAAGACGTGCAGACATTTACTCCAGTGCAGCCTCTGCGTCACACGTGTCCTTTTGCTATTGTCAGAGCTGAGAGCAAACCTCTGCTCATGAGTGCTTCTGCAGACTTCCACCGGCTGCAGCCAGGCCTGCATCCTCCTCCTCCTCTGTATGGGTGGCCTTCTTACTGAGGTGCTTCACCACCAAGGTAGCATTGAATGCCCTCTGGAACAGAGAAACCCCCCCCCCCCGAATAGAGACACTGAGCCTGGCAATAATCCTGCTGCTGTGTTCATAGCAAACACAAAGATACACACACCGCAGTGTATACCAATGAACTCAAAGATACGCATGTCGCAGTGTACCCCCGTGAACACAAAGATACTGACGCCACAGTGTACACCAGTGAACACAAAGATACTGACGCCGCAGTGTACCCCCGTGAACACAAAGATAGGCACGCCACAGTGTACACCAGTAAACACAAAGATACGCACGCCACAGTGTACACCAGTAAACACAAAGATACGCACGCCACAGTGTACGCCCATGAACACACTGTTTTTTTCTTCCCAACGCCATTCTCGGGAAAATGACCTCACCTTCCACTGGTTCTTGGCGAAGGTCTTCTGGATCTGTGCACTGACTGTGCTGTGGATGTTTCTTTCCAGGGCGGTGCCACCAGATATCCTGCCAGAAGAGCACATCCCCGTCACCGCAATGGGAGCAGAAAGGTCCGTGCCCAAGCCAGCCTCCTTAATGTCCTGAGCTCAGCATTGCTTTGCTAGGCCTAACATAAGCACTCTGCTGAGGCCACTGCAAAAACACGAGTAATATATGCCAGCCTCAGCCTGTGGGTATATAACTCACTGTAAGCACTGTAAGGCTCCCTCGTTTGGCGAGCGCACAACAGGCCCACACAGCTGGTAATGCAATCCTCTGAAAGGTTGATCCCATGTCACCAGATGTGATTATTTAAGAACAAATTGTAGGGCATCCTTCACTTTGCAGTACTAAAAACAAAGACGTCCTGCTGTAACTTGTGTTATTTTCTGGAGTGGGGATGGGGTCTTGGACTGATGTAACAGAACAGTTATGATGAAATAGAGACTGATGATGACTCATTTAATTGAGAGGGAATTGTACTCCTATTCAGCGACAGTTAATTAATGCTTATAGCACCTTTGTGCTTTGTGTTTCTGAAATATGACAATTCTGCCAACGCACAAAGGTAATTTTCTTAATCCGGATTCATTTGAGCATTTCTATTTGCTCATATAATAAGAAATATAATTTTCGAGAAGTAATTCTTTTGACAATGAAAATCAATATTAGACCAATTCAGCATTCAGTGGATAGCAGGAGAGAAATACCTAGAGGTGCAGACTGTGGGACTGCAAACATTGAAAACCGAGTGTATAGCTGAGCCTGTGCATTATTTTACGGTCTCAGCTCAGATGTTAGGATTTACTGTCTCTGTCTTTACTTCCACCATCCAGCCACCAACTGCTTATGCAGAGTGAGGTCGTAAAGGCGCCCCGAAGCTGGGTGAGGTCATAAAGGCGCCCCGAAGCTGGGTGAGGTCGTAAAGGTGCCCCGAAGCTGGGTGAGGTCGTAAAGGGGCCCCGAAGCTGGGGCTCACCCTGAATAGGGCACCAGTTCACTGCAGGCTACATGCAATGAAGCACTACAGGCAATTCAGAGATGCCAGTTCGCCCAGCTTTGATCTGAGGGAGAAACACAATGAGAGGATGCAAAACCCCACACACAGAGTAGAGATGGGATTTAAACCCCCAACCAAGCGCTGCTGTGCAGAACATTACTGCCATAACCATGCAAAACATTACTGATAAATAACAGTGCCCTTGCATGCATTATTTACCTTATAATAAATAATATATTTGCCACAATATATCAATGAACTTGATAATGTGTAAACGGGACTAAAAATGGTAATGAAAGGAAATGCATGCATCCATCTTGCGGGTTTTGCGGGTAGCACTGTTGTCCCGCACCTGCAGGGCTGGGTGTTTGAATCCCCCCCCCCCCGAGTGTGTGAGCTTTGCATGCCCCCCCATGCCCCACCCCATTGTATATGGGTTCTCTGATTGGTTGGTGTCCCTTCCCAAGTTCCACCTCAGCTTCATGCTGCCCGTTTGCTGCCAGGGGGTCGAAGCTGCCCATACAACCCTCAGCATTGTGGTGGACAGAAGAACAATGATTATACCACATTTTGTATTTTTAGTGTTTATAAGCACGGTGTACTCTCAAAATCTCTAATTTTAGACTTGAAAATAGCCCCCCCTTTTTCTTCACCAACAGCAATGCAGACTCTTGGCAGCTGTTTAGGATTTAGTTTGGGGGATTGTGGGGGCAGCTCATCTGTTGCAACTCTCTATCTCCTTGCTTGTTCACAATACATACATCACCTCAGAGTGTGCTTACGGTCCTTATCTCGTTGAAAAACCAATGATTTGCAGTAGGTGCGTCCAAACTTTTGACTGGTCCTGTACAGTAGGTTGTCTAAAAGAATACCTAAAATTTCTAAAATGCTCATGTCATTGTGTCGTGTCCTCCGACCGCTGGTGCAGGTCAGGTTAACAGAGGAGCACGTCCCAAACAGCACAGCAAACAGGGCAGGGTGTACACAGGACGAGATGGCTATAGCAAAGCACACACACACACACACACACACACACACACACAGCTTTGTAATTATATTTTTGTGGGGACTCTTCATTCAGTTCTATGGGGAAAACACTAATCCAAGCATAACGACCTTAACCCCTACCCAGCCCTAACCTTAACTATAAGTAACCAAACACAATATGAGACTTTTGGCATTTTTACTTTTTTGATTGAATCTACAGATCTTTGTGGGGTCTTGAAAAATGGTCTCCACAACGTCAAAAAAATAGATTTTTATTACATTGTGGGGGATATTTGGTCCCCACAATATAATCTAAACATAATCCACACACGCACACATACAGGCACAGACACACACAAACACAGCATGATGTCGTGATTCAGCCCTGGATGTGTGAGGAAATAGCACCATACGCTGCAACACCATGCTGCCATTTATAAAAAAAAAACATACATTTATGGTGATTAAAAGTATTTCAATAATATGGATGAATGATTAAGATAAGGTTACCCCTGACACCTTTCCAGCATTAAGGTACGAGTCAGAGAGAGAGTGAAACGTAGTGACCTGAAGGGGTGACTTACCAAGGGTGCTGCAATGCCTGGTCACAGTCAAGCCTTTTCTCTGGTTCTACCTGCAGTAGGTGTGATATGAAGTCTTTGGCTGGACAACAGAGAGAGCAAAGCAGGGGGAAAGGGGAAATCGAGAGGAGAAATAAAACACTTTAATGATGCAGAATGTCAACACCATTTCCAGACTAAAAATCTGTTCCAGAAAACAATTATACACGACAATACAATACATTATGAGGCATGAAACGGTTTCCTGGATTCCATCTGAAGCAAATGAACAACCACACAAGGCAGGTTTCCTCTGAGAAGAATGAAGATGGAGCCACCTGACTGCGAGATATCATCCCAGAAAGGGGAGTCAAACTCATATTCGCCCTTCATTATCTGCCTGTAGAGCTCCGTGTCATTCTCATCGTAAAAGGGTGGGTACCCACACAGTCTGGAAAGAGAAAAAGCCATTATGCAAGGTGCCCACACACAGACTTTCATGGATTCTGCATTCCAGTGGAAGCCGGAAAACGATGACTAGGCGGCTGTTTAACACTCACAGTATGTAGGATATCACGCCCACAGCCCAAAGATCCACGGCTTTCCCATATTTCTTCTGCTGCAGGATCTCTGGTGCTACACAGATGTGAAATGCGCAGCAGAGTCTATTAGCACACTGAGCAGCCATGAGGAAACCTTGAGGAGCATGAGGCATCAGGACCCCTCACCAACGTAGCCGGGAGACCCACAGACCGTGGATAGTACTCCTTGGTCTTCCATCTTAGACAAGCCAAAGTCACTGATGACAATCTTGGAGTCCTTAAATGGAGTCTCGTATAACAGGTTCTCGGGCTGAAAGGAGGTCATACGGTTTGTATGAAAATCTTAAAGGAACAAACTTTTCCAACAGCAATGTGCCGACACCAAAATGGAATTACTGCACACTAGGGGAACCAGAGCAGTAGCCCAAAAACAGCAGTAATTTACTATTCTGTGCCATCGTCATTGGGCATTGATGTACCTGCACCAACCTGCTCTATGCTATAACATCTTTGCTTCCACATGCTTCCTCATTACAAAGTTGATCTAGACTGATCTGTTTATTCTGTTTGGTGAGATGGTCGCTACGGCAACGGAGCAGAGAGGCAGGCTGACGGCGTAACACTGTGATGAACTGCCATCCCCGTTTGCCATCAAACATGGCAGCCTCATCAAATCTCGGCACTTTCCATAAGCCACTTCCCCAGCAGAGTGCTGTGTCGCTTCCCAAGGCTGCGGCTTCTCCGCTAATTGGACGTGGTGATCCTGAGAGGAGGTGGCACCTTGCCTTCAGATCCCTGTGCACGATGCCCAGCTTGTGCAGGTATTTGACTGCTTCCAGCACCTGACGGATAACACAGCTGGCATCCTTCTCCGTGTAGATGCCTCTGTCCAGGATCCTGTCCAACAGCTCACCTCCAGTAACCCTGCCATAGTGACACGGTCATCAGCTACTGGTGCCCTTGTGGGCGAGGGGGCGCTATGCTCCCATGTTAGAAACACGACAGGACACTTGAATGTACGTTAATGACCTGTGCTCATCTCCGCGTTTTAAATTACACTTCATTTGAGTAAACCCTATTGAACATGTCCATATACATTTTATATTACACTGCAGAATCAGCATCTTCTTTATCACCACATACATTACCGTACTCATGTAAAATGGCCGCTTGCTTCATCTTGAAATAAAACCTCAAAGCAAACAGACAACACGGCACCCAATCCCCAATTATAACTATAGTTAAGGTTTAAAACATCTTGATGATAAGGTGAAAGCATTAATGAGAATGCAGTAAAATATAGATGGTTTCAGATTTTCCGTATTCCAATCTCATAAAACGTGAAACGACTGCACACAAACAGGGATGGTGTTTGATTAGGACTCACAGAGTCATCACCAGGTAGAGCTTTGCTGGTGTGTCAAAGGTGTCCTCCAGAGAGACGATATTCTCATGGTCAATCCTGTGATTGAAGACGACCAAGAATATTTTTTAAACAGGTATTTAGATATTTGCATATGAATGTCTGCCATAGCCCTTATTTCAAATGTCTGAGCCATGTTCTATTTCATTTGGAGTAAAGATATAGAAAACAATTGTAGTTGATATTGAATAGATTAAATGAGGTTCGTATTGTATATTCCATTGATCATGAAATCTGGTCATAATTGTGCAGGACTAGACGTCCAATTTATTTTGTTAGATATTAAGCCAAAAATAGACATAACAGTATGAGTGTAGACAATTAGGCTCTAGGCTGCTTGTGAGGTTTGGCGGATGTGTTATGTACAGTGAATGAATGGGAATTGTACCAAACTACTAAAATGGGTACCGACTTGCGCAGCACATCGATCTCATTCTGCAACATGGCCTCCTTGCCCGCCACCGCCCTCTTGCGGATGCATTTGACAGCTACGAGCTTTTGAGAGCGCCGATGCTGAGCCAGCCATACTTCGGAGAAGGATCCCCTGAAGCAGAAACAACACACGAGCTTTCAGTTTTTACTGTGATCCAGGGGAAAGTACTTTGTGGGAGCCTAATAGATGGGTGGCTTTGGCATTCGGTTAAATGAATGTTTGGAGTAAGAAGATAAAGGTTGCGCTCTCTTTTACGGGAATTAAATATAGTCGTAATCAAACTGTCCCGCGGGATCACTGTATGCTGGTTTGATGATTTTTCTTAACGATACCATTTATCTGAGGTACAATGATGTGCTAATCGCAACAATTGTTTTATTTTTTATGATGTACTTGGTAGTGCCTTAAACAACTAATTGCCTGAATAAATTATTCACTATAATTATCTTGACTGTATAGTTTTACTGTTGTTTCAGATCCAACATGACCCAGTTTGAATGAACGCACTTGACATTTTACTCGCAAAGCCCTGCTTATATTCTCCGTAAATTAGCTGCAGCTCCTAACTTACTACTGCAACACCAAGATAATAATTTCAAGCGAGACCAACTTCATTAATGAAGACGTTGGTTGTAACAAAAGGCAGTGTGCAGCATCCAGGATCATGGATTTAGTGGAAACATTGGCAGTCCTAAAATATTTAAAGCAATATTTCCACAATGGCCACGTGTGACACGAACATCAAGTACACATGCACATCCCATCCCATACTTTATGACGTTATCAGTATCGTCCCCTTGAACAAGCGATTCTTTTTTATAATCCACTATTGTGCAGAGGCAAGAACCTGGCTACAATGAATATATTTAAAATAATGCACATCTAAATATTGCTTCACCCTTGAATTCGTTATTCTGACAAACAACCTCAAAAACGGATTAATGTGACTCATCATGAAGAGACTTACTCTCCAAGCTTCTCCTTGAGCTCATAGACTGATGTAATACCGCCATCCGTATTCCCAGCGCCTTTCATGGGAACCATCTCCTGCCAAGAATAGAGACACATGCAACAGCGTCCATTACTGGTAGCTGGGGGGCAGTGAAGTCAAAAATCTTCATCTAGTTTTCTCATACTCTCAAGCAACATGGATTCGAGATAAAAAAGATGAATGTTTTTTTGTCCTCACTCTCACATTTTTACTCTTGTGTGACATTAACTGTCCTTATTTAAACCTATACTGCTGTATCTGTCAAAGCTGTGCTCAAAAAAGTTATTATATAAAAAGAGTTTAATTCCGTGTCAGCTTTTCCTTCTAAGGTATCGGTGTGCTTGCAGTTTATGATTAACCATTTACAGCCGAATAAGACTGTGACGCTTGGCTCATTGCTCTCGTTCACTCTTCTTTATTCACCAGTGACGGTCAGTGGGGAGCAGCAGTATGAGCAGAAGTGTAAAGAAGGATTTTGTCTGCCTAAGTACAAGCAAATACCTTCGGTCTTATATTAAGATAATGATCCAACTAATTTCTAACTTATTTCATCCATTCATCACCGTAACCGCTTAAGCCAAACTGGGGTAATTTAGACTCGCCGATCAACCTGGACCGTGGCAGGAATTCGGAGCCCCCGGCGAAAACGGGCAGAGCATGCAAACACCACACAGGGACCGGAACCGGGTAGAACGTACCACAACTAATTTCATTTCTAATTTAAATACAATACCCAAGCTGCTTAATAGCTTAAACAACAATTCAAATGTATTTCTCCTAATACATGTGAAGGGCACTTTATATAATCAATTCTTGTTAAACAGTAATATTCCTGCCACACGAGACACACCATACTGTATGTATCGTAGCAGTACCTGCTGCTCTCCAACAATGACGTAATAATACTCTGGCTATAATATTAATATTTAATGTCCGTATGATACTCACAGAATGTAATTTCTGGTTGTCAAGTGTCATTTTCACTGCAGTGAAAAGTCAGATATCATGTGATTGCTGCAGGTGGTTTGATTGCATTGATGATTGTTATGTACAAATCAAAGGGCACACTTTCATTCGTGCAATTTCCTTCTGATTTGATTAGCGATGCCCAGCATGCAGTCTGATTATTAAGCGCAGCTGCTGCACTTGCTTTCTTTGACCCTCGGCTTTCCTCTCTTCTTCTTGTTTTCCTCGCTGCTTCTCGCTCGGTTTCTCTGATCCTGCTGCCACAGCCTCTTTATCTGACAGTTGCTACACGGCATTAAACACAGTGGCTAACTCGAGTTAATGGTTCTATATGTTATAAAGACCAGAGGTGGATAGTTCAGGTCCAGAAAGAAAAATCCTGATAAAGATTTTCTTAGAACCAACCAGTTGAGTACTCTGTGACTGCGACTCTTCAAGCACAGCTGGTTGGTTGAAACAAAACCTTGGTCTGGATTTTTACTTTCTGGACCTGAACTATCCATCTCTGGTCCTGGTTATATATTACTAATCTGCTTCCCAAAATTACTATCTGCTTTCCAAGCTTGCAGTTGTCACATAGCTTTGATGGGTTTATCACAATCAAACAGTTAAACTTTGATCTCTAATAGTTAAAATAATAAATTGCCCCTTAAGACTTGACCTGAGTTGAACATTGCTCATCTCCAACGGCTAATCATCACACCCATGAAATGATCATGTCTACATTTTCCTTTATCAAACATTTGCTGTAAATGGCTAGCATACTGTTCAGCAAGAGGATTTACTGGAGTGAAGTTCTAGAAAAGTGGCTTACCTGTCCAGTTTTTGGAGAAATTTGTCTTCCTGTTGAAATCCTTGCAGAAGACCGTAGTTATTATTTAGTCTATTTAGTCAGTACCAATCCTTGTACTTAACACCCAATTAGTTATTGTGATATATTCACTGGCGTAGGGGACATGCACTCCCAAATATTTAATTTGACTTAATTTGTCCCCCCACCCAAAAAATAAGCCTTTACATTTCAGTTATAAGGTTTTGCCCCCCCCAATATCAAACTCTCTCCTTTGTCCTTGGCTGTATTCTGTACAGATTATAAATTATTCTCCTGTGGAGAATGGATGTGCACAAAGAATTCTGTCCAGCAACTTCAATCAACCCAACCACCCAGCAATCACAGTGCTTCTCTATGTGTTTTTTCTATCTTAGAGTTTGTCAGGAAGCCGAATTTTTACCTGCTCTCCTCCTTCCACCTTCCTCACTGTCACCTTACAAATATCTCCTCTTTAATTGAATATCACGCTTTTTATTCACGGTTAACCTTTCCCTCCCACATACACAGTCGAATGATCGAGCTGCATTTTTAAAGTGAGAGAGGAAGAAAGAGAGACGTGGACAGGAAAGGAGGCTGGTTATGCTCACGTTGGCCCCTAGAAGTCAGGCTGTTTGTTCATTCCGTACAGCATTAGCTGGGATGCTTAGTGTCAGTGACACAGACATATTCATGGCATGGGGCTGCAGCACATCAGGGGTCGTTTCTTAGAATCTCCCCTGTCTAGAATAATCACACCAGGAAGCAGAGCTACAGAGCACACGTTACAGTAGGTGCCATGCAGAACTGTACCAAGCAGACACGTGGAGTATTATGTATTAGTGCCTTATGGACTATACTAGTAATAAGTACATACATTTTAAAAAGTGTCTTACTAGTTTTCAGTTATCTAAAGATTTTACTAGAGTGAATGGTATGGTGCTTGCAGCATATCCATACATACAATATATGGGCAAAAGTATTAGGACACCCGTAGTGATTACAGCAATTGGCCACATAAGCCACACCCACTGCTGACAAACAGGTGTATAATTAAGCACACAAATATGCAACCTGCAGCATCAATGGCAGCAGAAATGGGGGGGGCATATAGAAAAGGTTAGTCAGCCGAGGACCATCATTGGACACCACTGGACACCACTGCACACCACTGCACACCTTTCCAGCAAGTCAGTTCTCCACATGTCTGTCCTGCTAGAGCTGCCCTGGTCAACTGCAGGTGAAGTGGAAACAACAGGGGAGCAAGTTCAGCTGCCAGCTGGGGGCCACACAAGCTCACAGAGAAAGACCTGATCACCCAACATCAATACCCAACCTGCATGGCAGCTAATCCCACCAGCACCTTCCAGCACCTACTGAAAAGTCTTCCCGGGGGAGTACAGGCTGTTATGGTGACTAAGGGTTAGCCAGCTTCATATCAATGCCCTTTGATTCGGAGCAAGATGGTGGACAAGCTGGTGTCCCAGTACTTTTGTCTATATAGTGTATGGCGGCGTTATCACTTCAGGTCGCCAAAGTAACCCCTCCTAGGAGCACTAGAAATCCTCTATGGTGTTTACACAGTAATGTTGGTCTTCTGTACTCTGTCTAAACTCTAACCTATACTCTCCTTGTAAGGGCACAGGGTAAACCTTCATAGTCGCACATTCATCTGACCTTCTTTGGCACAGAGAATCCAAACAGCTGACTCCCTACACTGTCACCTGCCCATAGACATGACCGTGCATCTTTCCTTTCACTCAGCAATGAGCGATTTGTTCCATGGATTCCTTTCACAGTCACTGGAAAGAAAAACTTAACGGCCTTAGAACTGTGGTAGCAAGCTACTGGTATCCTGCTGGGAGCCAAAGTGCAGCCAACATAACACTTATTTTAATATTTATATTTATTTATTGTTATTTATTTATTGCATTTTCCATATGCAAATGTATCTCAGTTTATGAAAGGAGAATTATTTTTATCATCACTCACCCCCACCTGGTTGACAGCTGTTACTGTTCCCGCCCCTCCCCCCCCACACACACACACACACACACACATATATACAGTGGACACCCTGTGCTCTTCCCTCATAGCTCCCCAGATTATTTTCTTTTACGTAAAAGTAGCTTTCAGTGTGAATAAGGCCAATGCATTAGCCACAGACAGTGAAGCCAGCCATTCCCTGTACTTCCCTGTCAGATTGTGAAGCCAGCCAGTCCCTATGCTTCCCTGTCGGACAGTGAAGCCAGCCAGTCCCTGTGCTTCCCTGTCGGACAGTGAAGCCAGCCATTCCCTGTGCTTCCGTGTTGGACAGTGAAGCCAGCCATTCCCTATACTTCCCTGTCAGATTGTGAAGCCAGCCATTCCCTGTGCTTCCCTGTCGGACATTGAAGCCAGCCATTCCCTGTACTTCCCTGTCGGACCGTGAAGCCAGCCAGTCCCTGTGCTTCCCTGTCGGACAGTGAAGCCACCAATTCTCTGTATTTCCCTGTCGGACAGTGAAGCCAGCCATTCCCTGTACTTCCATGTCAGAATGTGAAACCAGCCATTCCCTGTGCTTCCCTGTCAGACATTGAAGCCAGCCGTTCCCTGTACTTCCCTGTCGGACCGTGAAGCCAGCCAGTCCCTGTGCTTCCCTGTCGGACAGTGAAGCCAGCGATTCTCTGTACTTCCCTGTCGGACAGTGAAGCCAGCCATTCCCTGTACTTCCCTGTCAGATTGTGAAGCCAGCCAGTCCCTGTGCTTCCCTGTCGGACAGTGAAGCCAGCCATTCCCTGTGCTTCCCCGTCAGACAGTGAAGCAAGCCAGTCCCTGTGCTTCCCCGTCGGACAGTGAAGCAAGCCAGTCCCTGTGCTTCCCTGTCGGACAGTGAAGCCAGCCATTCCATGTGCTTCCCTGTCGGATAGTGAAGCCAGCAATTCCCTGTGCTTCCCTGTCAGATTGTGAAGCCAACTATTCCATGTGCTTCCCTGTCGGATAGTGAAGCCAGCAATTCCCTGTGCTTCCCTGTCAGATTGTGAAGCCAGCTATTCCCTGTGCTTCCCTGTCGGACATTGAAGTCAGCCATTACCTGTACGTCCCTGTCGGACAGTGAAGCCAGCCAGTCCCTGTGCTTCCCTGTCGGACATTGAAGACAGCCAGTCCCTGTACTTCCCTGTCATAGTGAAGCCAGCCATTCCCTGTGCTTCCCTGTCAGACATTGAAGCCAGCCAATCCCTGTACTTCCCTGTCAGATAGTGAAGCCAGCCAGTCCCTGTGGTTCCCTGATTTTCCTGTTAATTCACTTAAAAACAAATGTCAGGTCAAAACTGCTTCAATCTGAGTTCAACTACAAGGTCTCATTCATTATGATACCACGTATCTACTGATATTAACTCAAAAGAATCAAGCAATTAGGTATGAAGGTAATTAGGTACGAATTGTACAAATTGAAATTACTCAGTAATTGTACAGGTAATTGCTTGTATTAATAGTAAAAAACAGTGAGCAAATGAGCAAGACATATAATATACATATGTGTTCCTTAATTGACGATCGAAACACACTTTTTCTATATATTTACGAAAAGCTACGTTATAACACTGCGCCATTTGTACCACACGAGGGCGCCAGTAGTACACATTTAACATATATCAGCTAGAACATTACACTCCAAAAGAACATCAAGCGATTAAAAAAATATTTATAAATACGCAAAACCAGTAACACATGTTGACAAAGTTATGTATACATAGATACTGTAATTATATAATCATTACATAATAGTTATCAACAGCCAATAGCAGAATATGCTTATATTGTTACCCATCTTACCCTTTTAGAGGAAACACAAGTGCTCTACTCAATTATACACATTATACATTTATTTTACTGATAAAAATGTTGTTTGTTTAAATTATTTACTTTCTTTTTCCCTGTTTATTGACAGTGTTAGAGACTTAATGGCATTATATAATATTCCCAGGTCGGATTCCTGAAGGAAGATAAGTAATATTAACCCCTAAGTTAATACACTCATATGGTATCCTTCATCTAATTTCTGTTTTATGTTTTTTATACTTAAATCTACTGCCAGTTCACCACTGGATCTAACATCATTTTTCTTACTCTGCCATAGCTGACATTTAATGTATCTAACAAAAGTATTTATAACACCGGAAATCATGAACTGCATACATCTCTTGAAAGGACATTAAGTGACATTACTCCTGAGGTCAAACAAAAATGTTACTCTGTGTTAATTAGACCATA